CGGCGCCGCTGGGCTCTCCGCTCTCCGGCCGGCAGCAGGGCGCAGAGACCAGTACCCGGGGGCCAGGGGCGACCCGGAAGCACTCGGGCCGGAAGCGCCGCTTCCCGGAGGCGGGCCGAGGGGAGGCTGGGCCGCGGCTGCGCGCTGGCCCTGGGACGCGCTGGATGCACACGCACTGCAGTGACTAGAAATGGCTGGCAGGGGAGGCAGCAAGGGGCAGAAGAGAAGCAGAGAAATCGAAGAACCTTGTTTTGGGCCGTAAAGGGCCGTAGCCGCAGCTTGGGCTGGGACCCGGAAATAAACGAGCCGGAAGTGACGCCTGGCCCTCAGCCGCGAGACTGTGGCTGGCTAGGTTGTCATGGAAACCTGCCGCGAGCAGGGAAGTCTGGTTCCACCTCCCGCATTTGGCTCCGGCTCCTGTTCAGATGATCCTTGAGCTGCGCGCCTGACTGACCGTTGCCTGAGCGAGCAGGGGGATGGGCGGAGCCTTCGGCCCCATTTTACAGACGGAAATACCGAGGCTCAAAACGAGCAAGCGAGATGTCAACATCACGCGAGAGTGAAAGCCAGCTTTGAGAGGGTTGTGGACTTTTTCTGTGGGGTATGGTTAAGAAGACGGGTTCCAGTTTTGGCTTTACTGCTTATTAGCTGTTTGACCTTGGGCAAGTTACTTAACCTCTCTGAACCTCATTTTCTCACCTGAAAATGGAATAATAATGATAAGTGCCTCATGGGATTGTCAGAATTAACACACAGACCACTTCTCATATATTAGAGATCTAGAGGGGAGGCTTCGTTGAACATTATTTGCGACTGGATGATTCCCCAGTCTCTGATTTACCCCAGACATGTACTGGAGGCTCACATCCTGTTCCGGGCCAGCCGCTCTCCTGGGAACATGCTCAGAACTCCTGTCCCCTCCGACGCGCCTTCAAACCCCACCCCCACCCCGGCCTCTGCGTCTCCAAATACCTTTGCCTCCCTGGCTTTTTCCCTCCATTGCCTTCTTGGCCTCCAGTCCCAGCTCCGGTCTCACCTCCTTTCTGAAGTCTTTCCTGGTTTCCCCAGGCAGCCATCTCAGCACAGGCGGTTACACGCATATTTAACCTGACGCCCCCCAGACACCAAGTGCTCCGTCCCTCTTTCCCCTGAGCTCTGGGGCTGTCTGACCAAAAGGTGCCCAAGAGGTGTTCCTCTATGACCCCAGCAGGAACTGTGATCCTCAGTGACCCCAGCTAAAAGCCAGCGGGCTTGTCTCAGGGGACAGTGACGTCATTCTGGGGGAACATTTGGAGAACCAGGAACCGGTAAGTCAAACATTGGCAATTGCTCTGCGCGCTGTGCGGCTGCCTGGGCACCCCTTAAGGTCTCTGTGTACTTTATGAGCTCACATTTTATCAGATGCAAAGTGATCGTGTTCGCAGGAATTCCAGCTGAGAAAAACTGTCCCAGCCGAGCACTTCTGCCTTTACAGCAACCCAGAACTCCCCTTTTGGCAAGTGTTACAAGATTGCATTTTCACATGAGGCTGCTAAAAAAGTCCCTTCCAGCTCTATGCATCTGTGACAGCCAAGGGGGAAATAGGTTTTAAGAAGGGCTTTCCTGGCAGGAAACCCTAATCACAGAGACTCAGTAACATTTCCCATCCGAAGAAAAGACCCGAAGTCTCTTGCAAGAGTCACATTTCTCATCTTTTAAACATGCATGAAGCCTTGTGACTTCTCTACCTGCCGCTGTGGAAGTCAGAGGAGCATCTTTTTCTGATTTTATTACATAATGAGTAGCAGATTACATAACATCACGTGACAATGATCAGGCACCTCTGCTTCCTAAGCGCCAACAACGCGAACCATCTACCTACCTCTTTCTATTTTTTAGTTTTTTAAATCACAAAGCAGCACCATTCCAACAATACAGTGTGTGCAGAACAAAAAGTGAAACAGAAAAACTACCCGTGAACTAGCAGTTGGATTTCTTGGCATCTGTCAGAGAAACACACAAGTGTGTAAAGCCACCTGTTGTGCTACTGTCTGTAGCGCTAGAAACGTTCTAAATGGGCACTGATTCTAAACGCGTAGGAAAGCTGGGCGTGGTGGTGCACGCCTGTAATCCCAGCGCTCGGGAGGCTGAGG